GTTACCTCCCCTGTTCAAAGACCAAATGACCAAATCTTGTATAATGAGAATTTCACTTGCGGTCATTTTTAGCCCTCTAAGAGGGCTATAAGTCTGACCAACAGTTTTCCATACGGCGTAGTCAGCTTTTGAGGTGTATACAAAAAATTAGTCAGATGTAAAGAGGGTAAGTGTCCTAAAATCCGTTTTCAAATTACCCTCTGTTTTTTTCATAAAATACAAAGATAATATAGGGAAATACGACTGGTCAGTTTTGACCCATTTAACGAATTTTCCCGGACATGGCGAGTATTTTGTGACACCCCAAGGCGCTCTCCTACCACCTCACAAAATTTCAATGGGGGTCGTCGGAGGAAATTTTTTTTCGTAATAGAGCTCATATAAAGAGAATTTCACTCGCGGTCACTTTTTAGCCCTCGTCGAAGGCTTTGAGTGAAACCGACAGTTTTCCCTAAAGGTCAAGCCATTTACCTAAGAGCATGCAAAAAATTAGCCAGAATTAAAGACGGTAAGTGCCCTAAAATCCGTTTTGAAATCACCCTCTGTTTTTCCCATAAAATACAAAGATTATAGGGAAATACGACTGGTCAGTTTTGACCCATTTAACGAATTTTCCCGGACATGGCGAGTTTTTTGGGACACCCCAACGCGTTCTCCTACCACCTCACAAAATTTCAAGGGGGGTCGTTGGAGGAAATTTTTTTTCGTAATAGAGCTCATATAAAGAGAATTTCACTCGCGGTCACTTTTTAGCCCTCGTCGAAGGCTTTGAGTGAAACCGATAGTTTTCCCTAAAGGTCAAGCCATTTACCTAAGAGCATGCACAAAATTAGCCAGATGTAAAGACGGTAAATGCCCTAAAATCCGTTTTGAAATCACCCTCTGTTTTTCCCATAAAATACAAAGATTATATAGGGAAATACGACTGGTCAGTTTTGACCCATTTAACGAATTTTCCCGGACATGGCGAGTTTTTTGGGACACCCCAAGGCGTTCTCCTACCACCTCACAAAATTTCAATGGGGGTCGTCGGAGGAATTTTTTTTTCGTAATATAGCCCATATTAGGCGCCGGTCAGTAGAGGTCAGTTTTGACCCCTCTCCGTAGACTTTTCGGCAAACCGTCACCGGCCCTCGTGTTCTATGGCCCCAAGGCACCACAGTGCCAAATTTGACGCGCCTGCGGCGCCGGGAAGTACCCTATCGGGCACCTGACCACTTTGCTTTATATATATATATATATATATATATATATATATATATATATATATATATATATATATATATATATATATATATATATATATATATATATACACGTTTTGTTATATAAACAGCCTAGTCGATACTGCGTGAAGTTTACCATTCAGATAAGGATGCCTTCCGCTAACATTTGTTTTAGTCGTTAATCAACGAATACAGCAAATTCAAATTAAGGGTATCATCTATTTTGTACGATGACGTATTAAATAAAAAGTAGTACATTGTCACCAAAGCATTTATTTGACAGACATAGAGGTCATGGTGCCTCCATTATAATTCAAGAGCTGAAATGCATGACACTTCACAAGTTTATATTGGGAACATAATTTAAATTTAAAAAAAAAACCTAGAGCGATGTATGTATAATATAATATTATTTAAAATAATAGTGCAATGGTAGGGACAGTGAATGGTAAAAAGCGCCCCGACCTTTTTTAACTTGGGGGGGGGGGGCGCTTTTTATTTTCTTATTTTTAATTGTTTTATTTATTTTAATTTTAAATATGTGTTATTATATTTATTACTTTGACGTTTCAATCTAGCATCAGCTGGCTGCACAGTTAACCCTTTATTTACGGAATTATGTTCTGAATGAAATTTTTTCTTAAACAATGTGTTATCATATTGCTTTTGGCACATTTAAATATACACAGGACTTTCCTAGGGCACAGATAAAGTTTTCTGCTTCAGAGCAACTTCTCCAATCCCACTTTTCTGTTCTCGGCGTTTACTTTGCACAGTCTCCAAACCTCAACTGTACAGTAATAATCTTGTATACCCTGAAATAATTGTAAACATAAGTAATATCAATTAGTATTTTAAACTTACGCCTTAACCGTATTTTTTTCTCCTCTAGTTTAGACAACAGAATATCCCCATCAAGCGCACATGAGACTCACAACGTGACTAAATTCAGGAATTTTAAAAAGCCCAAGTTGAGTGGATGGCTAATCTTTCCTGTTTGAATTTTATCTTCTTTTTAGCCATATATCTATCAACAAAGAAATGTAACCTGCTTGCGAATTTTAATTTTCTCAAGAAAATGTTACATTTATCTTGTTCCTGTTTGGTAACGTGCTTATATTACATACATTTGTAAACAATTGATTGTAACTTCTGTAATACAAAATGTTAAATACACTATTTTAAAGACATTTAATATCTTTTTACTTTCACGCATACGGATTATAAAGGAAGTATTGTATTCGTGCAAAAAAATCGATATCGAGATTTTCGTAAATCTCGACTAGTCTGAAAAACCTAGTAAAGGCATTGCATGGTGCGATGTTTATTTTGATGGTTCCAAAATCTGTAGCGATGACTGACTGACACACTACCAGCAGCGTTATATATATTATATTATATTATATATATATATATATATATATATATATATATATATATATATATATATATATATATATATATATATATATATATATATATTGATCCCCCACTCAAGAGACTATCCTGGCCACTTGCCAAGCTTGCACAGCAAACTGCAATACACATTGCATATAGAGTGTGACCTTCTTGCGTCCACCTAGCTCTGACTAGAATTGCCTAAAGGTGGTTGCCTTCTTTATGTAAATTAGCAACATAACAAACAAATCTACAAAATAATTCATGGTAGACGTAAAATATTTTAGCTGACTTTTATTTAAAGTAGCAACCAAAACAGACAAACTTTCTAGAAAATATTTCAAAGCATAAATTACATATTTTTAGCTGACTGTTACTTAAAGTAGCAAAAGAAAAACGTGAGCTGTGTTTCACTTTGTAGGCTACAGCTGCTAGTAAAGATAAGAGTGTATTTCAGAAGCCACCATTTTAATAACATCACTGTTCATTCACCACACTTAATATTTCTTTAGAACCAAGCAATATATAGGCCTGCACTTTTACAACCAAACATGATATACATTTGATAGCAATTCATTGGCATTTAAAATGTTTTACATCGCCACAAAAAAATTATAATTACAAAACAAAAGTTTCAGTTTTTTAAATTAAAATTAAATTAATTAAAGGTTCATGTTTTCCCCAGTGAAAGCAATTAATAAGTGTAAAATACTTGAAGTGTGTAGTCACTCGCCACTTACTCCACATCTACAACCTCCACTTGAAATTATCTCGAACATTCCACTTTTTCAGCTTGACGCTTGTGAGTAATCGGCCGTATCCTTAAGTCGCGGCCTTAGATTAATTTCCTCCTTATTACTGAGGCAATTTTAAATCTAAAACATCCCGAGTGTCATTTCAAATATTATAAATGCACAAAGTTTGTGCCTTGGATTGGGACCAAGTGTTTCTCCGGGACTATTCTAACGTATTCTAATCTAATCTGCAACTTACCTATAACAACCTACCTTCGAGTGTTTTAATCAACTCTAATCCACTCCCCAAAGATTCATGGCAATCGGATGAACGGTGTCAAACTGCAATCGACTTTTACTTTTATATACCGTATATATATATATATATATATATATATATATATATATATATATATATATATATATATATATATATATATATATATATGTATATATATACAGAAGATTCGAATCGCGCCCTGCCGCCATGCCAAAGTTTTGTGTTGATCTGATATGGGACAAATGCCCAAATGGGACAAAATGTCCAAGTAGAAAGATTGCTAAAAAATTTATTAATTTTATATATTATTAATTTAAATTTCTAAATATTTTTTTTCGCTGTTGATGTTTTGAAAATTCGAAAACAAAAATCCGTTAGTAGTATATAAATTGCATTTTTTTTTGGAAAACTGAGAAGCTGCTCTAGAAAAAACAAGTTTTTCTTCATAACACATGCTTGACAAATGCTTAATAAAAATACTTGTATATTATATAAAAAACATGAAAAATATTATATTAAAAAATGGATACCTCAAAGTAGTAAAAGACATTTTGCTCTATTTACAAATAAAAAAATGTTTTTACTACACGTACATGATACATCGTCAGTCATTTAAAAATTTCAAGTTGAATCCACATGTGAGCTAAAGTTTAATTGTAATAGAAATATTGCGTGAAATACCTCGTAGGTATTTCAGTAGCGGTGTCTCTGCATTACCACATAATCTTTCGGGCAGCTTGTTTCAGTGGCGTAGCGAGGGGGAGGGGGCGGACCGCACCAGGTTAAACCATCAAGGCAAAAAATAGCAAAATACTTACAGATAAAAATGATCATTCCGGATAAATCAGTGATTAATTAGAGTGGAAAAGTCTTTTAAGAGCTAAGTTGTTAAATCCCAACAAAGGTGGGAAAGCACATTTAGATTTTCTTTCAGACAACTCTTCAGAAAGTCTACGCCCCGTATAATGAAAATATAGAAAATATACTTTTACCCGTGTCCACAACCTTCCCCGGAATATTTAATCCACCTCCCCCCTACCCCCCCCCCGGAAAATTTCAAGTGCTCCCACCCCTCCGGGGAGAAAAAAAGTCTAAAAGAATAATAGTAGATCATAGAGACTAAACGTAAACCCTACCTCTATAATCTAGACCTGTTTCCTAATTTTGCCGCTAAACCTCAATCACGTGTTTCTTTCATACTTTTGAGGACTTTTTAAACACATTTGACGCCCCCCTCTTGATAGCGCTTTATGCGACCGCCTAGTTCGCCTTATAAGTAGCGCCATCCTTGATTACGAGTCAGCTTCCTTGTCGGTTTCTGAGCAGTTTTCCTTTTTACGAAAAGTGGGACGTTGAGTCATTGTCTTGGTCATTCCAGATGGCTATTTAACCCAGCGGAGACATAACGGTGATTAAGTGAATCAACGCAGCATACTACCGATATGTTGGAATCAGGATGTCATTCTTCTAGTGAGTCGTTAATTATTTCTTCTAAGTATTTTTCACTTATGTCTAATCAGTCTATATCTCAAAGTATTAGCCTGTGGGTAGATGTTTACAAACCTTTATATTCTGGTACATGAAAACATACACGTTGTAGTTTCATTAAAGCTTTACACTAGTCTTTCTCCTTTTTAAAAGTTTATTTCTATGTAATTTTAAATGAATACTTAAAAGATGTGTTCCCTCTGACAGACACATTTTAAGCAAGCAAGGACCTGGGTAATATCATTGAGTTGATATACGGATCATCATGCAGCGCACAGTCCCATTAGTATTATTTTTTATCCATATGTTTATTAGGTCATCACTTTCACATTCATTTGATGGTAAGTGTTTATCTAGTTCTAAAACTTTTCCTAAGCTGCATTAGTCATTATTTACGAATACATTATGAACATTTATGTATAAACATTGCAGTTAATTTAAGAATGAATTTAGTTTTCTAATACTCTCCATACAATTGTTTATCTTTTTTCTTACAGTGCTTATTTGTGTATCTTTTACTTCAGCTCTTCAGTACATGTTTATCTGTTTTCTTGCAGTACGTAGACCACCAGATATCAGTAGTCCAGAAGCTCCAAAAGTTTTTTATGCAACCACATACAGATTCAGTGTGCCATGTGTGGCTTCAGGGACACCAGTCATTAAGTATGTTGCTTCAATTAATCTGAAATAGTTATTATGTATGTTTGATTCATCTGAACCAGTAATTAAGTATGTTGATTCAATTCAATTGGACCGTTATTAAGTATATGTTCCTTCAATTCATCTGAACCATATTACTATGCTGATTCAGTTCATCTGAACTAGTTGTTATGTACGGTTGATTCAATTCATTTGAACCAGTAATTAAGTATGTGTGAGTTAATCTGAACCAGTAATTAAGTATGTTTGAGTTCACCTAAACCAGTAATTAATTATGTTTGAGTTCATCTATACCAGTAATTAATTATGTTTGAGTTCATCAGAACTAGTAATTAAGTATGTTTGATTAACTTCATCTGAGCCTCTTAGGTTCGAAAAAAGAATTTTACTTTCATTATTAATTATGTATGATTCAATTGATTTAATCTGAAGTTTATTCCGTTTTTTATGTAAGCCCTGCTAGGGGGGGGGATACCTTAAAATCTACCCTACCCTTCCCTAGGCTTATCTAACTAACTACCGTCCGGTCAGTGCAAGCCCGGCTAAACCCAGGCTGGTTAATAACCTAACCTTAGTCTAAATTAAAAACAAAAAAAACTTTTAACAATTTAATAAAATTTATTCAACAAAATATGGAACCAAAAGTTATTAAAAAAAAACTAGAATCTAGACCTAGACAAAACACTCAAGACATTCAAAACAAACAGAACTCAACGAAACAAAACACCCAATTTCGGACCACCGTCCTAGAAAGAGGAAAAATAAAACAAATCAATTTAAAATGTAAAAAAAGTTATACACAAGGCAGTAAGCTGACACCATTGTCAGCTTAAACAAGAGGCTCTCATAAATGAAAGTAAAATCTACAATAATCCATGACTAAACCCAGGCCATCGTGCTACCACGTGGTCTGGATAAAACAAACATTGAGACTTCTCAAAGTCGAAGTGACTAAATAGATCTAGTATATAGTTACTTTGTATACAAAATAAGCAAACAAAAATATGGAAAACATAATAAAACACTATAAAAATAACCCTACGTTACCATACACCACATAAACGTGACACAGAAACTCTTCAACACACAGGCCTCGACATTCCAGCAGAATGTCCCTCCATGTCGACACACCACATTCACGAACAAAGAAACCAATACTACGAACAAAGAAACCAATGCTACGCACAAGAAAATAGTCCCTAATACAATAATAAGTAACATTCAGGACATAAAGCAAAGTGGAGCAACAATCCAAAACAAAGTTTGCATAAATAATAACATTAAAATATAAACAAGACACAATAACCAGGCTACAAACCGTTGTAAAATCAAAATCATATCAGCGCCATAATAGCGGACTACTTAACTAAAAACCACAACAATCCTCAAAGGAACATAAAAAGCGACATTCGCCTTCTTAGTTACAAATAATTATAATAACAGATAAACACACTCCAGCCGCTCACATTTATGCCAAACTTATTACATCCTTGTTCAATAGTTCAGTGTTAGTTTGAACATTATTATCGACTGTTTTAAACATTTTATTTGTCTTCGTTTCTCTATTTTGTTTTATTGAAATAGTAAAAAGTTCTTTATAGACTAGAATATTTTTAGATTGTCTCAGCAGTCGAAGTACTTAATCTGATGGAATGTATCGAAACAATTTCTTTTTAAATTGATTCAGCAGTTGAAGTACTAAATCTGATGGAATGTATCAAATAATTTCCTTTAAATTGACTCAGCAGTTGAAGTACTAGATTTGATAAAATGTATCAAACAATTTATTCCAGGTATAGCTGGTTTCAGGTTGGCCGTGACACAGATATAACAACAGATTCCTCTCAGCCAGTTTATGTTGACAGTTATACAGGAACTCTTCAATTAGCTGATTTCACAGAAAGAGAAGAAGGCACTTTCATCTGCAAGGCATCAAATGAGTTCAATCAAGGAAAAATAAAAGCTGTTAGTTTCTCTCCTCCAGTCACAGTGTACCGTTCACGTAGGTTCAATTTTGTGTGATGCCTTTTTTAAAACTTGTGCTAATTGGCTAATTAAATACATTGACTTTCCCAAAGTGACCTAACATGGAATTTTTTTTCCAATTTAATCAGGAGCTGATGACTTTTCTGATGAGGAAAAAACTTTTACAGCCAAAGCCAATTCTTATCAAGTGTTGTTGTGTGATAAGAAAGGAGATATTGTTGGAAGCACGATTGGTTTTGATTGGTACATTGGTAGAGATACTAAATATGTAAATAAAGATAATGACCGCCTTTTCATTGATAATGAGGGTAAGTTAAATGCATAAGTTTTGGTATTCTTAGAAGTTTATACTAGTGATTTCAAAATAATATAGCATTTTATTCCTAGGCAATCTTCACTTCACTTATGTGAAAACGACAGACACAAATTTAGTAGAAGGCTACAGGTGTGGCGTTTCAATAGAAGGCCTTCCTTTGTTGCGACTAAGTGCCAACAAGAAATTTTTAAAAGTAATTCCTGAACCAGGTAAGTTTTATACCTTATTAATTTCTAGTATATTTTTTGTTCAAATAAAAATAAGAGACCATTTTCTAGAAATATATGCAATGTAATGGTTTCGTTTGCATAACATTTATTTTAAATAAAATTATTGTTTCTTAAAGTAATTGAGTGAAATGTTCTCAGACCCACAGCAAATAGCCCCCCAACTTATGTACAGTAACCGTCCAGTAAAAGTTAAAATCTATCTCTCTGCCAAGCTGGAGTGCATGTTTTCTGGATAGTAAGTATTATTCTAAAATTAACTTTTTAGTAACAAAAGTAATATTTCTGTAAAACACTTTACATTTTGTTAAACTATATTTTTTATACAATTCTTTATGCATCTAGTGATCCACAAAGTCAGAATCTACCACTCATCATGTGGTACTTTGACAATGGAACTCAGATTCAGAGTACAGCTAAATTTGGGTTTGCTCATGAAAATCGTGTCTTGACAATAAACAGAGTTTCAGAAGACGATGAAAAGATATACAAGTGTGAAGCAAGCAATAGTGCTGGTACATCAAAAAAAGAAGAGCTGTTTTTAAACGTCACTGGTAAAGTATTTAATTCTTCAGTGCACATCTACAAAATGATGTCAGTTTGTCAATATTATACTCAATTTCTGTTGGAATAACTTTAGATCTGTCATGTTACAAACCAATAATAAAAAATGTAATCTTGATACAATGCATTTCAAACATTTTTACAGTATTTAAATTTCGTACTACTCTACTGTGTAGGCAGAATGAACTATAAATAATTTATTCTTTCCTAAGGTCCACCAATATTTGTTGCTGGCGGCTCACCTAGTGATATAAGTGTTCCGGAAGGAAAAGATGCTGTTTTTAACTGTAATGCAAAATCAATTCAGTCTGAACAGCAACCAGAAGAACCCATTTGGTATATCAATGGCATACGTAGAGGTTCACATACAGGTGGGTACTTGGGTAGGAACGGAAAAAAAG